GATTACGCCGGGCTTAGGCTCAGCAGCAGCGAAGGCGAAGAGGGCAACGAAAACGAGAGCGAACTGTATTGGAAAAGGAGAAAATAATTTATGAAAGTATTATTACAGTTATTAGCAAATTAAACAATTCACATGTGCAATTGCAAGGATTCTAAGGATATCAAAAATTTAATTCACTTACGTATTTGAACATTTTGATTGTTTTGTTATTGATTGCGGTCTTACTGCAGTAGAGCAAAATTAAACTGATGATGAATTGGCTTCGGGCATCAGTTTAAATACTAGTTTGTGAGTGTGCCTACATTTAAATATGTATGTATGTAGATATTTATGTATATGTCAATACTGTAAGTTCGGAATAGTGGCAATGAATTAGGTGGACAAGTGGGCAGCCGTAAATGACATTATTGACCTAAACACGTACACAACTTATTGTCTGTGGAGTAAACACTCAATGAATGCCCGCATACATACACGCATATTTTCGATTGCACATACCTACATCATATATACATCTGTATATTAAACCATACCACCTTACAAGCAAACAATTAATTTACTGACAACGGGTTGTTACGTTAGGGACAAGAACTGAGATGTGGTAAGTTAGTACTAGAACGAGGTACTTGAAGTTGATGAACTTCGGAAGTAAAATAAATTGTCTCCTCGAGAAATTCTCTCCTCGAAATTGTCTCCGAATTGAAATACATTATTTCCAAAAGTTTCATGATTTTTGCCTAGCTTTATTTTACTGACATTAAGGAGGCACGTTAGTGTGATAAGAATTGAGATCTGGTGGGTAAATACTAGAACGGGGTACTTAAGGTCAATGAACTTTAGAATACAGAAAATTGTTCTGCTCGAGTCAAGAACATCGATATGTCATACTTTAAGATTCGAACGTAAATGCCGAAGATATGACGGAAAATTTAAAAAAGGTACCCCTACGTTCGGTAAATTTTTTTTTACAGTTGCCTTGAAAAATACTTTAGATTAAAAGCTGTATGGCAAACTTTTTTTTCTGGTACGGCCTAGGGCACAGTGACTCAAACAAGTGTTCACATGTTGATTTTTTTTTAGTATTCATGTTTTCACGTTAAGTCTTTTTTTTTACAAATACAGTATAAAAAGTTTCAAACTATAAACAAAATCTAGAAAAATTCATAAAAATTTCGAACTTTTTAATCTGAGGTTTGAGAATTTTTTTTTTTGTATGCAGGTTTAGAGCCTAAAGTAAAATTCTAGTAGAATAAAGTGCAAGTTTGAAGCCGCTCAAGAATCGCGTTGAATTTTAATATTTTGTTTTTGCGTATGGTCTTGCGCACTTTATTTATTTTATAAGAAATTCGTGTTTATATGGAGAAAAGGGCAAAGCTCCGACAGCAAAAAAAAAATAAACATTAAAAATTAAAGTTTTTGGCCTTAGCTTGATATTTGCACTTGTTAAAAAAAAAAAGTTAGTGTAAAAGTTTTGTTACAAATTTGTTGAATTACTCTAATTTTTGTATAAAGTTTGAAAATCTGGTTTTGGTTAAAGCATGAATAATATTTGTATCAAAAAATAATAAAAAATATTTGCTTGAAAGTCATCGTGCACTTAAAAAAAAATGAACATGTGAACACTTGTTTGAGTCACTGCATATGTGTATGCATACTAAGGTGATCCAAAAATGCATGTGAAGAAGTAAAATCGGAATATTAAGTTACCATTTTTAAATCCTAGTGATTTTTTATGTGCCCCTCATTGGATTTTTTTGAGGTTTTCAGGGGTTCTGTAAAAAATGGCTAATAACAGAAAATGGTTCAATAAACAATTGAATATTGTTATTGAAGGTATCTTGAAAAGAAACAAAGTCTTCCGATCAAAATATATTGATGATCAAGATTTCTACGAAAACTTGTTCTTCCCCATATAAAATACAAAGGACTTTTTAAATATTTTTGATTTAAAAATAAAAAATAAAAAAACTGGGGTATAATTTTTTCAGTATATGTAGTACAATCCCAGGGGGTGAGAGCAGTAAAATTCCGACATTACTTTATTTTTTTTTGGACCACCCTAATGTACATACATGCACTATGTTGGTATAGGTAACAGCAACTACTACTACGCAAACGAATGCATTTTTAAGTATAAATGTGTACGTGCATAAATAGCGAATGATATTGTTATCAGGAATTAAGCTTAGCTAAGAAAAATTGTGCCTACTCGCCGACCCTGAAATGACAATGAAATAACGAAGGTAAACAGTTAGTTTAATATGCAACGCAAATACTAAGTAACTGCCAAAATAATTGCGTTAAATTTAAGCAAGATTAAAATAAAAACAAATAGAAACGTGCTTTAGCCAAAATTGTCACTTTTCGTGGTTCGAACGTAGCAAATAAATATACACATGGCATAGCTCGGCGTGCATGTCCAAGTACAAATGAACTTACTTACTTATTTATAATTTTTATTTGGTTTTGTAAAATTTCGAAGACCATCGAAATTTATTTAAATACTCGAGTAATACAACATTTTAGTATCAGTTCAATTTTACACTTCTACGGCGAAACAGATAACAAAAAATTATTCAAAATGTTCAAATACGTAAGTATACAAATAGTATTCTTCAATTCATTTTTAAGTACAATTCTTAACAAAATGTTGTTTTTTTTCCACCCACAGTTCGCTCTCGTTTTTGTGGCCCTCTTCGCCTTCGCTGCTGCCGAGCCTAAACCCAGCGTCTTCGCCGCACCATTGGCCTACTCTGCCCCATTGGTCGCATCGCCCTACGCTGCCGCCTATGCCGCTCCCTATGCTGCTTACGCCGCTGCTCCTTATGCGGCCTATGCTTCACCATACGCTGCCTACTCCGCTTATCCATACAGCGGCGCCTACTTGCTTCGCAAGTAAATGGAATGTGGCTGAAGAAAACTAGACTGAACGCATTAGAAATAAGTTAGAAAATGTACATAAATAAAACATGGACTTGAACGATTATCAATTTAATTACTTTTATATTTTATGGGAAAAAAGAATGAAGAAAGAGGCTCCCAATGAAGTGGCTAGCGACTGCCACCTTAAACTGGGAGGGCTCTCGGTATAGAGCTTACCGCATACTCATGAGAAGTGCCCTTGTTCGTACCCAGTTTCTGTTCTCCTCATTTCTAACTATTAAAGTTTTTTCTCTAGCATTTTAATTTTTTCCATTATTGGACTATTTCTGCCAAAGGTAGCCGATTTTTCTTTATTATTTTGGAGCGAATATTGTTCGTTCCTTGTCAACTTTGATTTGGAGACATAACTGTTCGGCGGTGTGCTATCTTCAATATAATTATTTACTCTTGGTGGTTTGGAAGGTTTAAATGAGGTTTTTGCAGGTCTGGCTCACAATTAGGGATATAAAGCGTGCTTTGTTGAACTCGGCCCTAGTTTATAATTTTATTGGTTTATATAAAAATTTTTGGTGCAAAATGCTGAGAAAGTAAAGACTTTGAAGAAAATCGATTCTTCTGTTCCCGCAAATAATTGGAACATAATAAAAACTAGTTGAAAACAATTATAAGATTCCCCAAAACGAAAAAAATGCAAAAGTAAAAGTGTAAATTAAAAAATTTCATCAGAATTTCAAATCAGAATCGTTTAGGCGGTTCGGAAAGAAATTTGAAATTCTGATGAAATTTTTTAATTTACACTTTTACTTTTGCATTTTTTTCGTTTTGGGGAATCTTATAATTGTTTTAAACTAGTTTTTATTATGTTACATTTTGCACCAAACAATTTTATATAAACCAATAAAAATTATAAACTAGGCCTCGATAAATATCTTCAAAATTGTTTTAGCTTTCATTAAGAAAAAATATTTCTAATCCTTTGGAAAATTAAGACTCTTGATTATTTTGAGCAGTAAATTCAAATTGTAGTTTGACAACACAGCACTATGGGATTTTTACCAATGTTTTAGCGGAAATTAGTTATGGCTAAACAAGTAGAGCATAATTTTTAATTGATTGGAGTAAGATTTCCCACACTTTTGCAAAAAAAAAAAAAAAAAAAACTTAAACCTTAACGACCGAGGGGTCTAGCGGGGTCACCTTTTAATTTTTCGTTTTATTAAAAAAGTTTGAATGTAATTTTTTACATATTTATTTTAAGAAAAAAAATTCACTTAGTCATAAAAACTATTTATACAGTGGCTATTTTTGCAAAATGTTGCCAAATTTTATTAATTTCAAACGAAAAAAAAAGAGCAGCCTTTGCAGCAACGAAATTCTGAACAGCCTTTTATTTCCTCACTTTATTGAGTTCTCCCCACCAAACGGTAAATATTTAACTACTGACAGTATCAAGAATACCTATAATAAAAGCCATTTTCTTAGGCATCGCAGAACTCGCATCAGACAGAACTCGTCATTTTACACGTTTTTGATTGCCTTAAAACGGCGAAATACGGCCAACATTTTAAAAACTTGTTCATATTAAATTTTTAGGAGAAAAATATTAAACAAAAATTACGTCAAAAATACCTATGCATGTACATTAGGGCGTGCAAATTTTTTTCGAGGCGTATATGAGGATTCTACGTGCAAATCTAAGCAACTTTTCCGAAGAAACCATGGGTCTAAAATCAATTTGGAGCTTGCCAAATTGCGAAAATAGGTTTCTTTTACTTAGCATTTCGTTGTAGTGCCGTAAAGAATTGCTTAAATTTTGTATAAAAGTATGCTAGAAGAGGTTTTTGGTAGAAGGAATTTATTTATGAACTTATCTTTTTCCTACAACATCCGCCAGAGGGTGCAACAGTGAAAATTTTCACATTTTATTACGTATTAAAATAAAGAAAACTTATATTTTACTTATCTTTGAAATTTTTTTTCATACAACTGAAATTCAATACAAACTACATACATACGCATGTACATATGTACATAGGTATGTACTTTAGATTGCATCCCCAAAAAAAAGTTGCGGGTTTTCCACCGGGATTACAAAATTTATTATATTTGAAGAAAATATTTAGATTTACGTGAGCTGGACCGATTTGAAAATACCTCCAAAAATTGAGTTTTTTATGCATAAATAGTTTCATAAAGAACTTTTTGAAAAAAGTCCCCTCAGATGACAAAACAGTTTAAGCTTAAAAAAGCTAAAGCTATTCCGATTTAGACTTGTGAAGTATCAGTGGAAAGGTATTTTCTCACTCGTGTTATTTCCGCACAAAAAATAACTTATTTAAGTAAAAGAAACCTATTTTCGCAATTTGGCAAACTCCAAATTGATTTTTGAACAGTGGTTTCTTTGACTAATTTGCTTAGAATTACACGTATAATCCTCCTATGCTATACGCCTATAGTCGAAAAAATCTGCCATACAAATTGACCAGTCCTAATGTACATATTTTTCTAACTAAAGATTGTTAAAGAAGTACATGTTATAGATCTTAAAAGTACTTATTTTTTTCTTTATTTTTTATATTTTCGTAAATTTTTTACAAAAACAAAAGACCCCGTTATTTAATTTGAAGTTTTCATTATCAAATACGAAGAACAGAAAGTTAATTTTTCTAAGTACGAAAACTGCCTTTTGGCCACAAAACTGATCGAATTACCTATAGTGCAAAGTGTGCTTTGCTGCGTGCTTTGATCTTGTACCGTTTATGAAAGATTATTTTCTATATCATAGATTCTAAGTCGAACTACGAAATGTGGGATTATTTGCTTTGCTTTTTAACCCAAATCTGCCCGAGATCACTCTTAGAAATGTGAAGTACGAGTACCTTGAAAAGCACTCTACTACTCGCCATAAGAATTTCACAAGAAAGTTGAATATTTTTTTGAATTCAATTTGAATTTCAGAAAGCACATCAGACAAACTTTCCCTTAAGTGAAAGTTTTGTGCCACATTTCGGTGGCAGCCGAGCGAAATTACTAAAATGCAAAAGGGAAACAAAAAACTTCAGAATACTTAAGCTCATTATATAAAATAGGCGAAGGAGCACTAACCATTGTTTTTAATTCGATTCGATTTCAGCTGCTGCTTTGCGTTTAATGAAATGGAATACTTACTGCAACTACTTATGGATGTATGTATGTAAAGATACGATCGATGGATGGTGCGATTCGAACTTGTGCGCAACGCTGATGGTTAGTTCAAAATTGGAATTCCATTCAACCCGTTCGCCGCAAAAGTAGTTGTAGTGACTTTTGTGAAGAATTTCTAATGATATTTTTGTTTGTCCATAATTAGAGACTACAAACGTCCTTGAGCGCTACTGACCTCCAACCAATGGTGATTACTTTAGCGCACAACCGATTTTAGCACAATTGAGGCCGTAATGCGAACTTAACCAACTACGTGCAAGTAGGAACATATACATACACTTACATATACATATGTACTTATATGTGAGTTCATTAACATTTTTTTACTTCTGGGAACTCCTGCAATTCACGTCATGACGAACACTTTTGAAAATCCTTTTTTACAATGCATTTGCTACTTTAGCTATACATACATATGTATATGCATTGGGCAGTAGTGCACATCGCTCACATTCAAATGGACAAAGCACTTAGCATTGTTTGGAAAGTCCATTCAGCCATCTTGCCGCACGCCAAAGTTGAATGCGAGCTTAGGGCGTGGATAAGTGCAGGTTGTGGGAGGCAAACGTCTATTGTGATTGGCCACAATATGCAACACATACATACATACATACATTTGTATATGTACGAAAGCACGCTCGAGTGTTCTCGGAAAAGCATACGCAAACCGGAAATTTAATTTCGTTGTTCAAGTTGTAGTCACAATCGTTCATTTAGTATTCGCCACGTTTTGCTTTGAGGCGCTTTGATTTCATATTTAAGCCATTCCTTAATTGAGAATACTTCATGAATCGATAGCATGGACAGCTGCATGGACTATGTAGTAAATGAATGACCACGAGCGTAAGCATACAAATGTAATGGGCTGCATAGATATGAATACATACATGTATTTACATTAGGATGCCTCACGAAACTTTGCTGCCTCTTTATTACGAATCACAAAAAATTGCTCAATTTTATACATTCGTGCAGTTTTCTAAAGCTTTGAGTTCTTACCTCCCCGACAAAGCAATGCCCGTCGATCTTGGGACCTTCCATCGAGGGAGGACTACAAAGGGGTGCTGTATCTGGAACCCCGGCCCAGTTAACTTATTTACAGATGAATCGAAGTTGAATGGGAAGGCAGGTGGGGGTGTCTTCTACAAAGAACTCTGCGTCAAACTGAAATTTAGACTACCGGATCACTGTGTAAGCTTATTTGGGTTTCTGGTCACAGCAAAATCGCTGGAAACTGTATGGGCGATGAGCTGAAAAGACATGAAACCCTTGAGGAAAAGCTTCTGAATAGAGTTTGAGTGCACCCCTGACTTCGTGGCACCCCAAGGTGGCGAACTACTTCTGGCTACGCGCAAATCGGATGCGGACCAGAGAGCACTTGAGATAGGCAATTTCCACCTTTTAACTGGTCATTGCGTAATAGGCAAGCATGCGGTAAGGCTGAATATCATCGATGACCCTTCCTGCACCAGATGCATGGGGGATTATGAGGTGGAATCATCTCAGCACCTGTTGCTCTGGTGCCCTGCCTTTGTACGCCTAAGGTTAAAGCACCTTGAGTCAAAAGCTGTACGCGCCATCGTTCTCTTCTCTTCCCTTCCCTCTCTGTGTCTACCCTCCCCTTCCGGCATTTCTATGTCTATTTGGGTGGAGGAAAGAGTTCATCACTGAAACAAATGCCTCTTTAGGTCCTTTGACAACACGCAGAGGTTGGAGAAACTCAAACGATGAGAATAGGATAAGATGGAGAATATCTGCCTCAGCATCCTCCAAAGTACTTGGTGTAGATAGCGCCTTCAGTTGCTGAACATTACTTCCTACACGTAGAGTGTG